AGCAAGTCGAAGCAAAATTTTGCGGCTGGAGCTGGTCGTAACTCAAAACGGTCATATGTTGGGACGTTTGTAAGTCGAGGCACCACTGTACAGGAAAACATGGTACAGGACCCTTTATTTCCTGAGATACCAAAGTAACAAAGACTTTTGAAAAATCCTTGGTAAGGAAGAGAACCCAAACTGAAGGGCCTCCTACATGTGCTTCCGTGAGGCTCAGGGATCCTAGGAAATGCAATTGCATTGTCTGCAGAATGGTTCAAAGGATGCCCACCTGAAATTTCCATTTTTTGACAAACCAACTGACCCTCTTGTAATATAGAATTGCTCTCTATCCCCTATCATCTTTGGCATTAAAAAGAATATAGAGTAGCATCCTGAATACTTTCATATTTCTTGGACTGATATTTTTAGATGCACCCTCTACAGAGCCTAATGGACAGAGAGATTCCCAACAGAGTTTAAGGCCACCTCCTCTTTCTTTTTCTTCACAGGCAAGACGATGGCTACCAGAGTCTTCATTCTCAATCTGTGCTTAACTGAAAACTCCAATGAGGACTCTATTTTTTTGGCTAAAGTACCAGAATTCTGGCTGCTAGAATTCCTGGTGAATTCTGGGGTTGAAGATCAAGAAATAAGAAACTTGCACCTACTGAATACCTCAGTGACAAGAGAAGCAACTATATGACTTATGTACCTAACAGGTATTGGACTGCCAGTACGAGTAGAACATGTTATTCTTTTGTTTGATTTTGATGGTCAAATGCAGATGTTTTGAGTTAAGCTTCAAGGACCTTCTCTTTAATCTATTTTAAAAACAAATACACATACACAAAAAACCTACTATTATCAGAACTAAAAATGTACTGAAAACTGGAGAAAAGCAAATATATCTGCCTTCAGTGTAAAATGCAAAGAATCACTAAATCTTCCAATTCGTAACATTGGTTGTATGTTTTCTTGAAATTGGCGTAGATCTTGGTGGCAATCTGCCAGAAGTTAAGTACAGTATTAGTAAAAGCATATGCTGCTGTGCACCAAGTCAGATACAACAGCAAATGCTTGTGCTGACCTCTTGACTGGTGGCACTTCATAGCAGAGATTAACAACTACTGCAGTGGGTACACCTAACAGGATTTTGGCCAATGTATTTGCATTTACTAAGAGACAGTTCTAACACAAAGGCATTTCATATGTACAGGAAGCCTACTGTACAAAGAGTATGCATATGAAATGGTTTCCCCTTTAGTATTTTACAGGGGCAACAGTCCTCTATGATCATCTGCATTACTCTAGATCTGTCTTCCTATTTAATACCAATCCTGTCATCCTCTTCTTTATTTCTTGTTTCAAGAATATAGTATTGCCTCCTGCTGTAATGTACTTTCACTGTGAATGCTGTATAAATGTGCACTGAAAGCTGTCATCTTTTTCTTTTCTTTTCTTTCTTTCTTTCTTTTTTGAGAGGGGGGGACATGATCATGAGGTATGTATAAATATACAGGAGATACAGTAGCACTGCTGTTTAGGAGGAAGTAGATTTTGATCCAAGAAAGCCCAGACTGAAATAAAACTGG